CATTTCCAGGTACCTGGCTTTGCCCTCCTCACAAAACCCTTGTATAAACTCACTAAGGGAAACCTAACTGAACCTATGTATCATAAAGATTTTCCCTACTCCTCCTTACAAACAGTAAAAGAAGCTCACAAAATGACTCCTGCCTCAGCTTTGCAAGACCTTTCCCAGCCTTTCTACCTACATACTGTTGAGCACAGAGGATGTGTGGCTGATGTCCTAACTCAGGAACCCAATTCCCATCCTGTTGCTTTTCTATCCAAACAGCTGGATTCTACTGTTCTGGGATGGATACCCTATTTATGGGCAGCTTTATGCTCCTAGAGGCTTTTAAAATCACCAGAAATGCACCATTCACACTTTATTCCTTCCCCAACTTACAGAGTCTTGTGTCCTCTTTCCACTCCCCCACACTTCTGTCTGCATCCTGCCTCTTGAAGTTACATGTGCTTTTCACAGAAACCACCACAGTAATCATTGCCCTGGGCTCTGACTTCAACCCTGCATTACCTCTTATGCCTACTCTGCCTCTCTCTGATCCAGACCTGCATGACTGTATATCCTTTATTCATATAACACTCTCTCCCTTCCCCCACATCACAATTTTTCCCCTTTCAGCCCCCAACTACAATGTGAGCTCCTATAAGGCCTCCCATGCCTCACCCTATAGATGGGATATGAAATTGTCTCCCATGATGCCATCAGAGAGGCAACAGCTCTCCCTCCACTCACTATATCCCAGAAGGCCAAACTAACTGCATTAACCCAAGCCCTCATGTTAACTTCACATGTGCTATGAGGTCTGTGTGAAAAACCTATTGGGGAGAAAAAAATTTTTTTTGGTACCAGGAATTGAACTCAGGTCCTTGTGCTTGCGAGGCAGTTGCCAGAACCACTGAGCTAAATCCCCAGCCCTGGAGAGAAAACATTTAAGGAATCACATTATAACAAGGAGGGACAAGTCGGGCATGGTGGCTCATGCCTGTAATCCCAGCACTTGGGAGTCTGAGGCAGGAAGATCACTGTGAGTTTGAGACCAGCCTGGGCTACATAGTGAGTTCCAGGTCAGTCTCAACTACATAGTGAGGCCCTGTCTCAAGAAAAAAAAAAAAAAAAGAGGGACAAAGTATAATATCTGCCAAACAATAATCACCCATATGCAATTTTGTAGGAATTGGGACAGGATCCTAAAGAGACAAGGTCCAAAGAGGAAGAAGAGGATAATACAAAGAGCTAATGTAACCCTTCATGTTAATCCAGCATGTTAACCTATATGCTGCTTCTAAGTATTCATTCCATATATTACATCACCATGCTGGCATCTGGGCAGAAAGAGGATTCCTTACTTCTTAGGTGTCATCCATCATTAACGCTCCATTTATTAAATATCTCTTTCAAACCATAATCCTCCCAGCAAAAGCAGCAGTACTCCATTTCAAGGGACATCAGAAAGCCTCAGACCCCCTAACTGCAAAAGGAAATGCCTTTGTAGATAAGATACCTAGAGAGAAAGCCAATCTCCTCTCAAAGGTCAACATTTTGCTCTTTCTCGCTTTCCTGCAATTTACCCACAGAATATCAACAATATTGGGATTTTCCCATTCAGGATAATGGGTTCCCGATCCAGGGTAAATTCCTTCTTCCCATCTCACAGGCTGACACTATTCTGTCCACTCTTCACAATAATTTTCATGCTGCGTATAAACCCAGCTCCACCTACTGGCACCTCTCATCTGTTTTTCCATCCTGGAAAACTTTCCACAAAAACATCACTGCTCAATGCTCTGCTCAATGTGTAGTCATGTACCTATACCTCAGGGCTCCCTGAAACCCCCCTCCTTTTCCTACCCATCAAGCAAGCAGTTTTTCTCCTGCCTAGGATTGGCAAATTGATTTTATTCATATACCATGGGTACAAAAACTAAAATATCTTTTAGTTCAGGTTGACACCTTCAGGAGGTAGACAGCTTTCCCCATCAGCTCAGAAAAATCTTCTGCAGTAGTTACTTCTTTTTAACAGACATCATTTTCCTGTTCAGCCTTCCCACTTCCATACAGTCACCTTGCCTTCGTTAGTCAGATTATTCAGGAAGTGTCTAAGCCACTCGCTATACAATGGAATCTTTACACCCCTTACTAGCCTCAGTCCTCTGGGAAGGTAGAATGGGCTAATGGTCTTCTTAAGGCCCACCTCACCATAAAGATTCTGTCATTTGTAACACTCTTTATCTATTGTTTTCATGGTAAGTATTTTTTATATATTTTAGAGTATAGTTCAAAACAATACTGTGATATAAATCCTTTTATCACCATTGTGTCTAAAGAGATGCAATTGCTTGTTTAATACTAAGTGCCAAGACCCAGGTCTGCCTGCCTTCAAAATCTGTGCATTTAACTATTTCACTCTCCTCCATTCTACTAAAAAAATGTTTAAAAATCTATCTTACCACCTAAAGAGTGTTACAAATAATAACAGTGCATTCATTAGAAAACTTTCAGTTTCTGATACATGTTGAGCATACCTTACAGGAAAACCCAAAATTGGAAATACTACAAAAATCTGAGCTGGGTGTAGTGGCACATTCCTATAATCTCAGCACCCGGGAGGCTGAGGCAGGAGGATTGCTGAGGCAGGAGGATTGCTGTGAGTTCAAAACCAGCCTGGGCTACATTGTGAGTTCCAGGTCAGTCTCAACTACATAGTGAGATCCTGTCTCAAAAAACAAAACAAACAAAATCTGAAACTTTTTGAATATCAACATGACATTTTGAGTGGAAATTTTCCACTCAAATTTTTCTCACCTTTGAATTTTATTTTGTGCACAAAATGATTTAGCTTATGTATATGAACTAATTTTGTGTTTAGATTTAACTCCTGTCCTCAAGTCATCTCAGCATATATATAGTACACAAACATTCTAAGATCTGAAACATCAAAAATCCAAAATACTTCTGGTCCTACAGATGTTGGATGAGAGATAACAACCTGCAATAGAAAACAATTCTAGGTGTTTTAAGCAAAACAGTACTGAAGGGACATTAGAGAATCATAGAAACTTCAGGAAGATGGATACCAAGCAGAAATATAAGGAGCTGCAGAAAACGAAGAGGAAGAGAAGGAGGAAAGGGGGGAGGTGGGGGGGAGATTGGGGCAGAAGAAGACATAACTATTTTAGCAATACTCTGAAAGTACAGTACATTGCTACATGCAGATATCAAGCAGGAATGAATTCCAGCCACGTGGTTGGAGATAGTGTCTTCCAACAAGACTCCCACAAGGGTAAGGCCCTACTCCCATCCATCAAGTGAAAGTGCCTTTGGAAAGACCAGCCTGAAGCGGGGGTCAAAGTCCACCTAGCTGGTACTAAACACTAGTAAGGGGGCCTTCTGTCACATGAAGCCAAGCACTAATGGCTTTAGGTAGATCATCTCATTAATCTTCACAACTGTAATAGGAGGAAAATAATCTCATTACATTCATTTTATAGGTGAGGAAACTAAGTCTCAGAGAGGTTAATTTTCCTAAATTCATACAACCAGCCAATGGTTAACAAAAGACATTCAAATTCAGAAAGTTTAACTCCAGAGGTTAGTACATAGCTACTAATTCCTCCAAGAGGGGTGATAATCCCTTGAAAACTGTAAAAAGTAATATAGTACATACTTATTGTACAAAAAAATTAGAAAGTATAGTTAAAGTAGAAGATGGAAAACAAAAAGTTTAACAACTGTGCAACACAGGGATAATCAAAATGAATGTTTATTAGTATTCGTTAAACACATTTAATATAAAAATGATGCATTACAAAAAAATCATACTGTTTTAGTAAGTTGATTTTTCTACCCACTGACATATTCTCTATATTCACCCATATATTCTCCAGTCAACAAAGAATGATTCTACAACAGTGGTTCTCAAATCTTACCTGAGGCTCATTCTACACTCTTAAAAATTATTAGGGATCTCAAATATCTATAGATTATATCTATCAATGTTTACTACATTAGAAATTAAAATAGAAAATTGAGAAGTATTTATCAATTCTTCATAATAAATCCAATATATATGTTAGCATAGATAATTGTGGGTTTTTTTTGTTTTTGTACCAGAGATGGAACTCAGGACCTTACACTTGTGAGGCAGGCAGCAGCACCAGTGAGCTAAATCCCTGGCAGGTAATATTTTTAAGTGAAAATTAACTCCCCCCGCAAAAAAAAAGTCTCAAAAACTGTGACAATGTTTCCACACTTTTGCAAACCTCATTAAGGTCTGGTTTAACAGAAGAGAGCTGGGTTATGCATCTGCTTCTTCACGTTACCTACAGTAATGTGCTGTTTTGGTTGAGATATATGAACATCTAGTCTCACATAGGCTCCTTGGTTTAGAAGAAATACTTTTGAATTACTCAATTTGTAAACCATTTAAAACAACACAGATGAAGCTCAAGTAATTTTTGATCCTTTTTTCCCTCTAATGTGCTTCTGACCTTCACAACTATTAGTTTGTTCTCTCCCCTTTCAGATGTATCCCTTTGTACTGAAATGCATACATAAACGTAGTTTGTGGCAACTTGTTTTTTTCCTTCATTTTTGTATTTTACGTAAACCTACCTTGTTCTTTTTGAGAACTGCATGGTATTCCATATTGCAGATGTACTGTACTGTTCCTCTTTCTACTGATAAATAGGTTGGCAATATTTTGTTTTGTTTTTTGAGACAGGGTCTCACTATGTAGTTGAGACTGACCTGGAACTTACTATGTAGCCCAGGCTGGTCTCGAACTCACCGCGATCCTCCTGTCTCAGCCTCCTGAGTGCTGGGATTACAGGCATGCGCCACCACGCCCGGCTTGGATACTGTATTTGTTTTGCTACCTAGTAGATGCAACAGAACCCCAACCGATACCAGACAGCCACTCAGCCACCAAGGCACGGAGACTCCCAGGAAAGGAAAACCCGGCCGGCCGCTACGGTCGTGACGCGCGCTTCCGGGAAGCGGACCGGAAGCTGCTCCGCGCTTCTACGTCAGACCCGACCTCAGGGGCCGTCGTAAAAGTGTCGCCCGCGACTCTCCGACGGGCCACAGGTTTCTTCTTCCCTCTGGCTGGGGTCGGGAGCCGCTGGCACTAAATTCCCTTAAGATGGCGGACGAGGAGGCCGAAGGTGCGGAGAGGATGGAAGTCAGCACCGAGTTGCCCCAAGCCCCGCAGCGACAGGCATCAGTAAGTCTGGCAGGCAGGTCCCTGTGGTCGCTCAGTGCCTCCCTTCCCGGCTCCGGAAGACGGGGCTTCCCCACTCGTGGCGGCTCTGGGGAGGGGAGTCATAGACTGATCTGGAAGGAAGCCGCCGATAGGAAGTTAGCCGTCACCCACTTTCCTGCTGGCCGAATCCACGGGATTTAATGGCTATCGTTATTAGTATGGACGAGCCCGAGCACGTCTGTGTCTGTGTCTGTGTGGTGGCTGGCGGTGCGATTAGAGGCGGGCGTGGAGAGCCATTTTCCTGTAGGGGACGCAGCGCTAGCCAGCTCCCCCGGATGACGGGGATCCGGGACGCAGCGCGAGGGGCCGTGGAGCAGGGCTGCTTAGGTGGGACCTGATTGTGGCGCGGAAGATCGCCGCTGTCACGTCCTGTCCAGATGTGGGGCGCCGAAACCGTAGCCTTTGGGAGTAACATCTTGAGAACCTTAGGCCTTACCCTCAATGGAAAAACTCGTCAGCTGTCGCTGGCTTTCTGAAAGGGGCAGGATGAACTGCTAGAGGTTTCGAACCGGAGCTACACCATTACTTAGTATGGAGATCTATACTTTGCTCTTGTTTTTTGAAAGAATGGGAAGGAGGCGATCAGTGAGTAAATCTGAGGCAGTAGTCTAGCTACAGGTAAGAGACTGACTGAGGAGGAAGAGTGGTGGAGGCGATGTCAGGGAATGCTCCTGACTCCCCCCAGCCCTGCGCCGCATCTACTGGGGAGATGTATGGGAAAGACTCAAATATAGTTTCCCGCATGAGGTATCAGTTTGCCTTTGTAGCTGTACACAGAACGAGTTTGGGGTATACATATCTTAATAAAGTTTAGTTGATTCCTAGTTTAAAACATTCTTGAAGTATTTTTAACCTTGCAGACACTTCAGCATTGTTTTACAGCAGAATTGTTTCAACGGAAATGAGGCAACAACAAGGATTAGAGAGACAGCCTGGGAGATAGAAAGTGATAGGGACAGAGTTGGAATAAGAATTTGCTCTAGGTGAGCTCTTGGAATCGTTCATCATCCTAAAGAAGGTCAGACTTACTTCAGTACAGGTAGCAAAGGATGGAAAATCCTTCACTGAAAGGTTAAGGACTGAGAAGAAAGGAAAAGTTTAGAAGCAGTTGACACGTTTTATGAACTCAAGGCATTGGGCATTTAGGCAAACTCTTGAGCTACAACACTCAAACATCTTTTTTTTTTCAGGACTGGAGAGTTTTTGGTTTATTGGTGGTGGTAGTGGTGGTGATGGCAGTGGTGGTACTGGGAATTGAACCCAGGGCCTTTACACAGCCATGTCCCCAGCCCTTTTTTATTTTTTATTTTGAGACAGGGTCTTACTGGATTGTTAAATTGCCCAGGCTGGGATTGAACTTGAGATCCTCCTGCCTCAGCCTCCCAGAGCACCGCCTTGGTCAGTTTGGAAGGTTTCTCAAGACATGGCTATGATTTCATTTCTACATTTTCCCTTCCAGTCCTTGACTATGAGCAAGTTACACTTAAGCCCACATGCACTGTAATCACAAATATGTAATAGGGGCTGCCTTTTCAGTGTCCTCACACCGTGGGCCAAACATCTCCTAATGTAAGCCCAGCTGCTCACTTGGAAGGCTGAAGTAAGAGTATCACCTAAGCCTAAGAGTTCCAGGCTAGCCTTGTGAGCATAGCAAAACCCTATTTCAAAAACAAATAAATGATAGCTTGTGATTTTTATCTGTTAGGAGTAGAGAAATGTGCTGAAGTCAGAAGAGTCGCTGTTTCATATTACCAGTGATGATTAATATTTATTTAAACTTTCATATATTAATTTCTCCCAGATGTTATAGTAAAACCTCATCAGTCTAGTTTGGAATTGAAGATAATGGTACAGGAATTGCTAGAATTTATGTGGCAACTCTTTACTCTTTGAAATATAATAGATTTCTTTGGGCAAGGCTTTGGGCTTTGCAAAGTAGTGGGTAGATAATGTTACAAAACCTCAGGGTAATTCACAGTCTGGTAACAGAGATAATATAAGTGCTTCAAGAATTTAAATTCAAGATAGGTTGATATAAGTGGATAAAGACCTGTGACTGTTAAGCCTCAAAACCACTTTTGTTTTTTTGGCCTTGAACTCCCCCCATCTTTTTCTTTCAGTACAGGTAATTGAGTCCAGGGCCTCATACTAAGCAAGCACTCCATCATTGAGCTACATCTCCAGTCCTTTGTGTGTGTGTGTGTGTGTGTGTGTGTGTGTGTTTTGAGACAGGGTCTCACTATGTAGTTCAGGCTGACTTTGAGCTCATTAGGTAGTCCAGGCTAGCTTTGAATTTATGGCAATCCTCCTGACTCAGCCTCTTTAGTGCTGGGATTACAGAGGTGTACCACCATGCCCGGCTACCAGCCTTTATTTTTTTGAGACAGGGTCTCACTATGTTGTCCAGGTTACCCTCAAACTTGACTGTCCTCCTGCCTCAGCCTAAGTAGTTGGGATTACAGGCACATGTCATTGTAACCAGATTGTCTTAAATATTTCTACTTGACCCCAGAGATCATCTTCCTTCCTTTTCATTTTAAAGCTACTATTTTCAGTTTTATTCTGCCAGTGGGGTAAGATATTGGCTTCCCAGTTTACTGCTTCTTTGGTGTTAAAGCAAGCTATTTAAAAAGTACCAATAAACTCAATGAGACAAAAAACAAAACAAAACACAAGCTTAAATTTTAGTTGGTTTTTTAAAAAATTTGAATGATTAGTATTTTAAATCATCATTGGAGGCAGGGAAAAACAAAATAATAAATATGAGACAGTTACAAAGGTTTAACAACTCTCACCACATCCACTATAATCATATCCCTTATAGTTTCTGGGTTTATCCTACTTAGACCCCAGTTCAGTTTTGTCAGAATACTATTAGCAATATTCCTAATATCACTTAACATGCAATTAGAATGAAATAATAATTATAAGTTATTGGGCATTTGTAAAGGCCATTGCTTGAGAATCACCTCTGTGATAAGACTGAAGAATATACATTTTCAAAAACATACCTTGATGAGTCTGAAATCCTGCTCTATGGACCACATTTTGAGTATCACTTAGCTAGACATTTGGAAATTATTGATATAGAATTGACAACTGAGGCTGTAGAGATGGGTGAGATCTTGTGGGGGTGGGAGGGAGAGGATCGTGTTTGGAGATGGACCAGCCTAGAATGTAAGAATAGTGCGGTGCCATAGAGAGTAGTTTTGCAGAGAGGAAGACAGAGAAAAATTGGGAATCCAAAGGATATTTAAAGAGCCTCCCAGAATATCTGCCGTATTTGACTGGATTTTCTTCCTTAAGCATTTTTCTTTTACCTTTTTATACACTTTGCATAGGTCAGCAATGGTGAATTTACTACACATGCACCACAGAAGGCTGTTTGTCTTGATAGCCCTAAAATGCTCTTCATGACTGACCTAAGTGATTTCATCCAGTTCTATGGCTTTGAATACCATCTTTATGTGTCCATTTCTGGACTTTATTTCTCTGGATCATCTAACTTCTGAGCTCCAGAATCATAAATTCAACTGCCTGTGTGACATCTCTATTTGGATATCTGATAGGTATTTCCAACAGGGAAACCAATTAGGAAGTTACTTCAGTAACCCAAGCCATAGTTGACAGTACCTTGCACTGGAGAGATTGTCACTGGAGATGAATTTGAGAAAGTTTAGAAATATGGTAGAAGCAAAAAGACTTGCTGATGGATTAGGTGTGAGGGCCATAAGAAGAAAGAAATGATATCTAGGTCCCCAAGTTTTGGCTTAAGCGTTAGTGGCAGTGGTCGTGTCATCATGTACTGAGAGGAAGGACCAGGTTTTAGGAGGAGAAAGGAATAAGGCAGGTCAGGACATTTGTTATCCCTGCCTCAGTAGATGGCGCCTCTACAATAGTTCTTGAACACCAGCATCACCTTGTCTGTCCATCTCTAACGTAAACCTCCATCTGTTGTCTGAACAATTTCAGTCACTTCTTAACTGGTTTCTCTGCTACTTTTGCCATCTTCCAGTCCATTCTTTACAGAGCAAGCAGTGTAATCTTTTTCAGACTAAATCAGATTGCATCACTTCAGTCTCCTGCTTAAACCCTTCAATAGCTTCTCATTGTATTTGCAACAAAGTCTAACCTCATTTCAGGCCTTTTAATACTTTGCTTGGCCCAGCCTTCTGCATCTCTACTTTATTTTCTTTACTTTCTTCTCGCTCACTTTTAGCTACTTTGTTTTATTCGAAAACAAGTCCAGGCTCTATCTTGCTTCAAGCCTGTGCTTTTCTTGCTGGTAGAGTGGGTTTTTTTTTGTTTGTTTTTTAAATTTTCTTTTCTTCACTGTGTGTGTGCACACGTGCACACAATTGATGATTCTTCATAACATTTCCTGTGCTATCCAGGATTTATTTATAAAGTGTTTTACCTACAACTATACCTTCTAGAATTTTATCTTTTCTATCTACCAGCAGATTTAGTGTTTCTGTTTTAATACTTAGATCTTTTTGTGTCTGTGTGCTACTGGGGATCGAACTCAGGACCTTGCAAGGCAGGGATGGTACCACTGAGCTAAATCCCCAGACCTTAATACTTAGACCTTTGATCCCTTTTGATTTTAGTGTAGTGCACCATGGGAAGCATAGGTCTAGGGTCAATTTTTGGCATGTGGAAAGCCAGTTTTCGCAGCACCATTTATTTTGTTTTGTTTTTTGAGACAGGGTCTCACTATGTAATTGAGACTGACCTGGAACTCACTATGTAGCCCAGGCTGGTCTTGAACTCACAGCGATCCTCCTGCCTCAGACTCCTGAGTGCTGGGATTACAGGCGTGCGCCACCACGCCCAGCCCCCAGCACCATTTATTAAAGAGGCTATCTTTCTTCCAGTGAAGTTGTTTGGCCAATTTGTCAAAGATACAGTAGCTGAGTGTGCTTGGAATTGTTTCTGCGTCTTCTATTCTGTTCCATTGA